AGAAGCAGCTATACCAAAAACACGGCTTGATCATTAAGATGTGAAGGAGTTTTTTTGAATTGTCATTGCGAGAGTTTAGTACAGTACGTGTTGTGATGATGCCGCTTCTGTTTTTTGCGAACCACGGTCTCTCGTGGCCAAAACTATTCACGGCCTCGAGGAAAAAAAAAAAAAAAGTCAGCGAGAGAGAAGCCCGACCCGAACCCGAAGGCAATGATTGCCATTTTTAGGCCCGACCCAACCCGAAATTCGGGCGGCCCGATCTTACCTTTCGTGTACATGCATATATATATATATATATATATATATACACACACACACATTCACACAGTATATATAATTTTTTATTTTTTCCGGAATTTGTGGGTAAGTCCACTTTCATCTCTGCAAGGTGTTGGAGTGCAGCTTAACTAATCAAAGAAAGTTATCGCTTATTGCGAACACACCACTGAGATACAATATGCGAGACAGTCAACGGCGTGGATGAGACTGGCAAGGTACAAGGGAAAAGGCTGGGTGCAGCCGCCAATCAGGTCACGGGATAAATCTGCGCACGCTCTCATTGGTCAATGTCACGCCGAGAACCAATCATGCGCCATGTATGAGTGCCTGTGGCAAGTACAGTACAGAAATGGCATGTACAAAGGCTCTGAGTCAATTCATCTCATTATTTGGCATGCAGGGAAACCTCTCTCTTTGCATTAACATGAAAACTACGCATCGTTCTGCAAAATGGCTGCCGATATGGCTTTGTTTTTATTTTTTGATTACATTTTTTTTTTGTGATAACAGTATTTTGCAGAAAAACTTGAAGCACCGAAGCTGGAAAACGAGAAGCGAGAAGTGAAAACGGATTACTGTACAATAATTTGCAAATCATGTTCAACCTTTTAATTAATTGAATACACAACAAAGACAAGATATTCCATGTTCAAACTGATACATTTGATTGTTTTTAGCAAATAATCATTCACTTCGAATTTTAATGGCAGAAACACATTCCCAAAAAAGCTGGGACAGGTGTCAAAAAAGACTCAGAAAGATGACGAACGATCATCACACACCTGATTGGGTGCTCACCCATTGACTGGATTTAACTGTCAATCAACTTAGCTTGAGTTAGACACATGAATCGTGGTGACAGTTGATCATTGTTTTGGTACATCAAGTGCTGTAAAGCTTTCTTTTTTAAAAATTTTTTTTTTTTTTAAATGAAGCATTTTGGACTGTTCTGTTTGAATGCCCATCCTTGAAACACAGATGATGGAGGCCCATCTCAGCCGGGACAAAGCCATCAAGGGATGCATCACGCACACGTCCGAGGTGGTGGCGCAGCTGCGAGAGGCAAGAGCAAAAGACAGTGCCGACACGACTCTCATCAAACAACTCAGGAAGGAGCAAACCAAAGTACACTTTAAAAAAAAAAATCTTCGACCATTAGCACATTCATGATTTCCGCTTCGGGGTAGCGAATCAATCTTTTTTTTTTTTTCTCCAGCTCAAGCTTATGCAGTCAGAGCTGAACGTTGAGGAAGTCGTCAATGATAGAAGTCTGAAGGTAAGAAATTAAATTAAATCAACCACCATCGAAATGTAACCAACTCGCGCTGTGCAATATTACAATATACGGGACTTTATATCATTGTGTGATACAAAACTGTTGACCACATGACTTTGGATCGTACATACTGTACAGTTGGTCCTTGAGAGACGAGTGACCCGACTGAGTTTTTCGAGATCGAAGCTTTTGAGAGACCATTTTTAATTTTTTTTATATAAAAAAATAATGTTTAGACTTGCAAGTGAAAACTCAAACTCACTTCACAACAAGCAGTAATTCTTCCAAAAAGAGGCTTCAAGCTGTTTTGTGACACTCTCAGCTGAACGATAGTGTCAAACTATATGCCAAACAAAGAGAATGGCCATAAAATCCTCGAGGTTTTACCAATTAGTGGATGTACCACTGTATATTTTTGGATGTACGAGATCCAAATTTGAAACAAATTTTGCATCAAAATGTCCCATTGACTCCCATTATAAATGCCAATTTTCAATTTTATGTACCGTATTTTCCGCACTATAAGGGGCACATAAAAGCATTCTATTTTCTCAAAAGGCGACAGTTTTATAATCCGATGTGCCTTATATATGGATTAATATTAGGATTTATTGGATGCAGTATTTGAAATGTTCTGTAAATCGCTTTGTTACAGCTGCAGCGGTTGTGTAAACACTTTTAAAATAGGCCATTCATTGAAGGTGTGCCTTATTGTGCGGAAAATACGGTAATCCTGATGGGGTTTTTTTCCATGCATATCCCGTGATTTTGGTGTTCAATTCTTCATATGCGATTAAAACACACGAACAAAAAAAAAAAATCATTCTCTGGAACAAAATAATTTTGAATTTCAACGAAAAGAAGACAGAGGTGATACTGTTTGGTCCCAATGGCCCTTGTACATCCCATCCCCAGTGATTTTAAACTTGACCAGCAAATTGGTGCTGTTGTTAATTCCAGCTTCTTTCATCTTAGACAGCTGGCTAAAGTAAAACCGCTCCTTTCTCATGAGCACCTTGAGACAATAATTCATGCCTTCGTCACATCCCCGCTCGATTACTGCAATGCACTTTACTTTGGAATCAGACAATCCTCCATTAAGCGTCTTCAGCTGGTCCAGAATGCTGCTGCTCGACTCTTGACTCGTACTCGTAAGATGGAGCCCATAACTCCTACTCTGGCATCCCTTCACTGGCTCCCTGTACATTTTAGAGTTCTTTTCAAGATCCGATTATTTGTTTTCAAATCTTTAAATGACCTCGCGCCAACTTAACTCTCTGAGCTCATCTGCCCCTTTGCACCTGCCCGGCGGCTCAGGTCTGCGGACCTGACGTTATTAGAAGTACCAAGAACTAAACGGAGGTTCAGAGGGGATTGAGCCTTTTCCGTTGCTGGTCCCCCCACTGAACATTCAGCAAGCCCCCCTCGCTGCCCATCTTTAAAACCTGCCTCAAAACTCTCTTGTATTCTTTGGCATTTGATTCAGCATGACTCAGATTTGATCTTAGTTTTACTGTTTGGTGCCTTCTACCATCTTTGTTACTGATTTATTGCTTTATTGTTGTATATATGTTAGTTGCTACATGTACAGCACTTTGTATGCTGCGATGGCTGTTTGAAAGTGCTCCATAAATACAGTTGAGTTGAGAGTTGAGAATTACTCCCCTTAACCACCAGGTAGTGCTGCAGGTTAAGTAATGATAGCGATGACATCGCATCAGTGCTCACTCAGGGAACAAAACATTCCGCACACGGCTAGCAAAATTTTTACAGAGGGCTAAATCACTAAGTGTGTTTTTGTGCTTTTTACGTGTGTGTGCGCTTGTGTAGTTTGGTTAGTGCGAAAGGCAAGTGTACTTGTCTGCGACTGCACTCTAGTCAAACAGATGGATTTAAATTCCTTTGTCCTTATCAAACCGTGTTACCAAATCAGGATGGAGAAACCCGGTTAGAGCAAATCGCTAACGTTGAATCCTTAGGTTTCTTTTGGTCAAGCATGCACCTATATTTCCCATTTTCACAAAAACAAACCTAGCTCATCCGAGAAGCTAACGTAGCAATCGACATAATCCCTCGCTTGTCAAAAAGCACCAGCGGATCGGCTCAAATGCACAACACCAATTGCAGACAACCAGAATCAAGTCCTTTTCTTCCTATCGAGCCATGGTCCACAAAAGGAAGTAAAACCCTTGCTAAACCCTTGAGAAATTGTCACAGTCTAAAATCTTCACTCTCTGTTTCAGGTTTTTAATGAAAGGTGCCGAATACACTACACGCCTCCCAAGGTGAAATGATGCTCAGTTCCATCCAAATCACTGAGACTGAACCAGAAACTGTGACCATGCTACCGCCATCTTGGCTCCAGAATGACTGCTCAGATGTCTCTCTCGAGCGCTTCCGTTTCACTCATTTCCGTCGTCGATTATTGTGTTTTGAATGACTTTCCAGTTTTATGTTTTGTTTGGGTTTTTTTTTTTCCAAAACAATATACTGTACTGCACTGTTTCAAAGACAGTCCGAGTGTGCGGGGAGGATGCATTTTATCGAGCACACCACCAGAGTGCAGTTGCGCATCAACAGAAGACTTCTGGCATGCTTTTCCACTCTCAATCAGCTCATCCTACCCAACTGATTCCCAACCGGGGTGCCATGGCACACTAGTGTGCTACATCAGGATTGTCATGCGAAATTTTCCACCTAATTTGTCTGAAAATGATTTTTCCTTACACACAAATATATCTTCATCGAGCTTTGCCGTGAGATCGTGACAGCCAGAAAACGCACTTCCATGAGATGGCAGAAAGGACTGTTGGATCCACTATTGCAATTAACACAGAATAAATCATGGCTTGGTGTCCAATTCAACCGGGACCATTTTCATATGAAGTCAATTTGTGAGTAAATTAAGATGACATTATCATTTTTTTTTCTGTTATCATATTTCTTTCCAGGTGGCAATTTTGCAAATCTGCTCCAATTTGATTTGGCAATCTACACACACACACACACACACACACACAAGGGTCATTCAATAAATAAGGTGAACTTTTCGGTATAGGCACTTCTAATACAGATAGAAGCTCACCGGGTCTTTTTTGTTTGTTTGTTTGTTTGTTTGTTTGTTTTTTGCTGCCACTTTGTCTGAGAGGATGCTTCCTCCCCAGACACACTTTTTATGCACGTCCGCTGGCAAGGGTACCAGTGGCAACCGCACTTTTTTTGGGCGCTTTTCAGGGTGCTGGGGCTTAATTCCAGGAAGCTCAGGTTTACATCCGCCATGACACTTCGGATTTTGCCACTGACACCTGCCCAAGGCAGGTGTCCTTTGCCCAGCCACAGTTTGACGTAGACCAGAGGTCACCAACCTTTTTGAGAGTGAGAGCTACTTTATGTGTCCTGATAGTGTGAAGCGCTACCAAATACAGATACATACCTGAAATAATATTTGTACAAATGACATTTACCGGTAATAATATTAGAATATTAGATAGATACTGTAGCTAGATCGATAGATAGCCAAATAGGTAGCTGTAGAATCGATACTACTGCCCGTGTTTGCATTTTGAAATCATAATTTCGACTAGCACAATCCCAGCACTGGCGGGCTACTGGTGTGGTTCTCACGGGCTACCTGGTGCCCACGGGCACCACGTTGGTGACCCCTGACGTAGACGTACACCGGCCTGTCGCACTCGGAGCTTGGGCCACAACATTTAGAATTATTCCATGGCCTGAGGCAGGTGTCCTTTGCCCGGCCACACTTGGACACACACTGGCGTGTTTCACCCGGAGCTCAGGCCATGGCACTTTGAATTATTCCACTGCCAGAAGCAGGCTGTCACACCGCGGTGAGAGTTGTTTGTTTTTGTCTGGTCACTTCCTGTTTTATTTTTCTCGTTTCTCTTGTTTCAGCTCAATTACCCTTCCTCCTGTGCCAGTCTGATTGTCAGCCCCGCTCTGATTGTTTCCACCCTTACCTTGTTTTTTAATGGTTCTTTGTCTCCCTTTGTCCTGTCCCAGTGTGTTTCGTCCTAATGCATGCACCCCAGCCTCTCGCCACAGATCTGACCGGTCCTTGCCCTGGTTCCACAGCCTTGTCATTTTGAGTAGTCAGTGGCTGATCTTCAAATAAATATCTTTTTTACTCTGAACCCTGCAAATGTGTCCTGTGTCCAAGCCTGGTTCTGACACAGGTGTCCTTTGCCCTGCCGCACTTAGATTCAGGCCCTCCCGCCCCTTCGTACCCGCCGGCGGAGGTAGAGAGGGAAGGGTGTGGTTGGAACCCGCCAACAAAAACTCGGATCGAGGAATGACTTTCAATAGATTGGAGCAAGGGAGCTGCTCTGCTATGAATGAAAGCCTGACCCAGAATTGGGTTGTCTGCAAGTCATTTAACACCCAACTCTCCACACACGAGTTGGAGTAAACCGGAGAGGGGGCACCCATCGTCCAGGCGCACCCCAGCCCAGTGTTGAATGGTGCCGGCGCTGCTAACCCTGACAACCGGGGGGCCGCATCTAAGCGGGATTCTGATTTAGAGGCGTTCAGTCATAATCCTTTGCACCATTGGTTCCTCAGCCAAGCACATATACCAAATATCCGAACCTGTGATTCCTGTCGTACTGAGCAGGATTGCTATCTCGTCAACACATCCTGGGTAGGGTAAAACTAACCTCATGACTATCTCACGGCAGTCTAAATGTGACCGGTACTGTGACGCTTTCCAGGGAACGTGCCCCTCACATTCTATGGTGTCCTCACTGAGAAAATATAACTGTCCCGGGGGCACCCGAGGGCTGATCCAGATCTATCTATTTTTTAAAAATAAAGGAAGTGTACAGTGAATTTTGGGACACCCTATCGTCAAGTAGGAGTCATAATGAACTGAATACATTTCCCATGCAGCACATTGAGACTTTCTATCTCTCACAATGTAAATTTTGCTGATTAAACTCGCTGATGCACTTTATTTTTTCTTCTTTGGCTTTGCATAGGAATTAATAGACAAATGAATCCATCTATAAACTAATTGCTTACCGAGCTAACCACCACTGAGTTAGTTTAGAAGTTCAGAAAAATGTGAAAACAAATCTTTTTTCACATTGTTGGATTTTTTTTCCATAACAGTTATGTATGAAATTTTTCCATCAAAATTCCCCACACAACACCGAATGACATCAATAAAATTTTCCTCCATCCATCCATTTTTCCAATCTACTTATCCTCACAAAGGAGCCGAGAAAATTTTCATTCTTTTCAAATTTGTTCGTTGTTGTTTTCTTTTGTGCACATTTGTTGAAAATAAAGGAAGAAATCACATTTGTATCATCAGCATTTGCTCATTACTTTCCCCATGCACTTTTGGCATCAATTACATCCTCATCTAATTTTGAATATGATACCGCAAGCTTGGCACACCAAACTTTATGCAGTCTTTTCTATAACTTATATGTGCATATCTATTTTAGATGAGCATGATACATATTATGTGGTAAATGTTTCATTCATTTTTGTTGCAAGGTTATTAGAGTTAACAAAAAAAAAAAAAACGAAATAAAAAAATGATCTTGAGAAAACATTTTTGTTAGTGGTACAAAAAAAACAAAAATGATATCAAAAAGGAAGGTTAATTGTTTGAGAAATATAATTTATTACACAATACGTTTTTAAAATCTTGCACTCTACAAACATTCCATATATAAAAAAAACTAACAAAGCATTTTAAAAAAAAAATGGAATATATATATATATATATATATA